CGGAGGAGGGTCTGGGTGCTGAAGGTGCACAGCGGGGGAGCCCAGTGTCGTGCGATGGAGGGCAGGGAATGATGCAGAGTGCGGAGCCTGCTTGAGGGATTGCAGTGCTCCCCAGGTGTTTAACCCGTCCCAAAGGTGCTATTGAGTTTAAAAACATAGCGCAGGCACATGCCCCGGGCGGGCCAAATCCTCTCCCCATCCCACCCCCCACCCTCCAAATACCCGACCCGCCAGGTGGTCAACATCGAGGCTCCGGAAGCCTTTGTGGGGGCGCTGTGCCACTCTACCTGCCTGCCGCGCCTGGCCCTGCGTGCCGCGGCCCTGCGCGAAGCGCTGTGCTTCCTGGGGCATGCTGGGGAGGAGGGGCGGGAGGTGGTCACGCTGGCCGCCTTCCACCACCCCGAGGCCTTCTCGGCGGCCGAGGCGGCGGAGCTGCTGGCATTCGAGAGGGGAGCCGCGGTGCTGGAGATGCAGCAGCGGGAGAGGAGGATGCAGGCACTGTAGAGCAGCTGTGCATGGAAACAAGGCATGATCTGAGTAATTGCCGGCCTCGAGCTTTACAGCTAGTGAAGTCGATCCTTCGACACCAGGCCATCCGCTTCTTGAGTTTCCAGCGCCCAGTCAGGCACCCGACGTGTCATGGTCTCGCGGCGGCGCCCGGAATGCGCTGTCAGCCCGGTGTGATTCGCACCCCTCCTTCGTGCCCCTTCGATCGCGCCCCAGTGTGTAATTCGATGATCTGAAGCAATTTACAACCCCGAAGCAAGATCATGCAGCCTCTGCTTGCTATATATGTCAACGTCGTACGCAGTAAGAGGCCGTGGCGGTGGCGCACGTGCCCTCCGGCCCCAGGCCCGGCGCCGAGACCAGCAGACAGTTCGGAGTGCCCACCATGTTCGACCTTCCCATGGCCAGTGCTTCAAAGCAGTCGATCACGGCAACATCACCCACATTAAATGATACAAAGTCCCAGCAATACAGTCACGGCGTTAACGCAAAGTATTTGGATTCGAATGCCCTGCTGATCCGGGACCATGCGCGTCGCCGCACCCCTCCTCCTGCTCGCCCTGGTTTTCTGCCTCCCCTGCGACTTGGACGCCCGAGAGCTCCTGGACGCCTCCCCTTCCCCTCAGCCCTATCTGGGCATCAAGTGCGCGTATGGCTCCTTCGGGGAGATCGTGACGGTGGACGCCGCACCCACGGACCTGAAGTCCTATATCATCACCGCCACGGATGCGGCGGGCCGGGATTCCCTGGTGAAGACCCTGCCACAGCAGCTGTCCGGCGCCAACTACAGGCTGCAGCGCGTCATGAGCCTGCTGCCGACATTCACGGCCGACTTCACGAGACTTGGCCTGCAGCAGCTGTGCCAGAACGACAAGCTGAGGCCCCATCTGTCCGGCATCGAGGCCGACCAGCCAGTGTCTGCCATCTGAAGGTAGACAATGCCAGTCAGCCCCTTTTCATCCGGTACTCGAATGCAGGACTTATCGCTTCTGCCCTAAACCAGCGACTGCATGTGGCCTGTACCGCCTTTGACTGCCAGCTTTGTGTCTCATTTGCATGATGGGCTGTGCCTCGGAGGCAGCACGATTGGCATGCCTACTCCTTTCCCTCGTGCATCCGGGCCCTCCCCTCATACTCCCCTCATTCAATTTTGTGATACGTTTGATATGCACCCCTTGCACTGCTCGAGACCCCCCCTCCACCGCTGCTTGCTGTGATCGGTGCCCCAGGCCCAGGGTCATGGAAGGACAGGGAGGAGCGAGGTGGTCCTTACAGTGGGTCCAATGTACTGGCATTACTTGGAAAGGGAGCGCGCAAAGCGCTGGAGGTTGGCCACCGTCCGGCCGACTTGTTCAAACACGTTTGGACCCTCGGCGGGTGCCGCCCCAGCCTCCGAGTCTCCAGGCCCCGCGCTCGTCCGCATGTGCTCCTCCACTATGAGCATGAGGTCCTCGTAGGGCGGCTTGGACCCCAGCTCCCTGACCAGGCTGTATCGCCCGGGACTGGAAGCATCCTCCAAGAACACCTGGTAGTGTGGTGTGAGGAAGGGGGGTTGGGGGCCTGAGGCAAGGGGGATTCCCCTGGTCTGGAGGATGTGTCAAGAAGACCTTCCCTCCCCAACCCCAGACGCCACATGCTCAGAGTGAATCGCACACACTCCTTCAAATCCATCACGCTCCAGAAGGCTGCCAGCGGTCTGAGATCCAGAAACGACATTCTCGCATGACCCGACTCCCAACCCCCACGGAATCCACCCCCAACAGATTCCCGCCTACCTGCCACCTGCCCGGGTACATCTTGAAGAGGCTGCCCGTATCCCCGATGGGGCGCAGGTGGTAGGCGGTGGTGAACCCCGCCAGCAGCCCCTCGCGCATTCGCCGCACGTTCAACCCCACCCCCACGTCCCCGCTGGCCAGCCGCGGGTTGTACATGACCAGGGCCTGGTCGGGCCCCAGCCCCCGCGCCAGCCGCCCCACGGCCGACACGCCCTGCGGGTCCGGGCCCAGCAGCACGACCACGTCGTCGTCCGGGGACGCGGGGGCCCTGTCCCCCAGCGAGGCCAGGCTGACGCCGGGGGCGGTCCACTCGCCCTTCAGCATGGCGGCGACGCCGACGTCGGGGAAGACGACGCGGAAGGTCGCGTCGGGGCGCAGCGCACGCAGCGCGTCCAGGAACTGCTTGGCCAGGCGCCAGAAGCGGGCGCCGTCGCCCTGCTGGGAGTAGATGGGGCCGGACGCGGGGTCCCAGAACTCGCCCAGCAGGACCTCGACCTGCGGGGGAAAGGGGGGGAGGAAAGTGGGGGCACCGGGGTCGGGTCAGGTAGGAAAGGGAAGGTGACACAAAGCAAATGCCTCTTCCCTCCAGAACACACCGGATAAGCATGCAGGCTGTCGCTTCCCCCTTTCATGTACTGTCACATGCACGCACCCTCCCCCCTCACCATCGCCTTCTGAATGCCCTGATCCAAGGCCTGGGACGTGGCAGATGCTGCGGTGGCAAGCGCATCCTCCAGGGAGTCGGGAAGGACGTCGTCGTCCCGAGCGGCCTCGGGCACATAATACTCTACTTCGTCCTCGGCGTCATTGGACGGCGCCGATTCTGGTGCATCATCATACGAGGCCCCCAAGGGGGCTGGCCGACGGGGTCGTGGATCAGATGAGCCATATGGCGAGCGATGACTTGCTCTCCCACAAAGGGGTGGCTGCCATGGCCCCGGCCAGCTGTGCCGCGCCTTTGCAGCTCCGGGACTGGTGGGGGTGCTCACCCATGCAGCCGAAGCTATTGCGCGACATGCCATGGCCCGGCGTCGACTGCTGACGACGATAATGTTCTGGATTTAAGTTTAATATGCCCGATGGAGGGTTCCGGAGGTGCTGCATTCCCATGCCATGCCCTCTCCATGTCGGCAATCATTGAGCGCCACTGGCATGATCCGTCGCGACTTGCATGCAAGGGCGATCGCGACCAGTCTGAGGGCCTAACCGCACAGTCCCGTGAACCACTGATCACATCATCCTAGACAAAAGATACCTGATGCTTCAGTAGGATTAAAACTTCACGTCGGCTTGCGGCACGTGGGACCTAGGGGCGAATCCTGAACAACCCTCTCAAAGTAGAGTTGTCTGGTGGCCAGACACAGTCTCACGGTGCACGCATGTCGGCAGGATCACTGCTGAGCGCACAATACAACATCTCGCCATGCCATAAGGAGGGCCGCAGCTGGTGCTTGCGCAAAGGCGGCAGCAGCGGTGGCCGCCCCTCTCATGCACGACCTTGTGAGTGGTAGCGGGGCAGGCATCGGCTGGGTGGCAGGTGGGCGCTAGGTCGCGTCATGCAAAGCGCCTGGTGGGCACCCCACTCCCCCTGACAACCAGCCACCGCTGAAATTGACAGGGATTCGGATTCATGGTCCCTGGTCAGCAGCCACATGGCAGCAGTGGCCCAAACTGTCGTGCGCAGCGAAGGGTGCAACCCGGTGTCGGGCGACGGGGGGCAGCCGCGATGAAGGGTCAGCCCCCTGCCCCGCGCGCCACCTGAGCACCCTTGCCAGTCAGGACCTGCTCTTCCTCGTCTTGAAGATGGTGGGTGACGGGCGAGGAGAAGAGGTATGATGCCTGCTGTGGATGCTGTGAGGATCTTGCTGGCGCTCCGTTCTCCTGCTCATCATCCAGGGTCCCTGCCTCATGGTCTCCCCGTGCAAAGCACCCTGCTCTCACTCCAAACTCGCATCAGGACATTGCGCGGCAGCAGCGTCGGGCCCTCATAGAGGGCGCCGGCCCATCTCTGGCGCGCTTTCTCAAGCTGCTGAGGGAGCAGGAGGCGGAGGTGGACCAGGCCATCGAGAAGATCCAGGCCGCCAAGGCGGAGGCCTCTGCCGCAAGGCGGCCCCTCAGCCCTGGTGGGCTGGACCCCGCCCGTCGCCTGCGATTGACCCTGGATCTGGCCGAGGCCGCGCGAGCAGAGGAGTGGGTGCCGGGGCATGGGGTGGAGGGATGAACAGAAGGGGGCGAGGGCCCGGAATGGGTGAGGTTGGCGGCCTTTTGATTGGTGCTGTCTCTCCGTCATGATGTTCAGACGTGAGCCCTCAAACCAACGCACATGCTCACAAATCCTGCCAAATGAGCATCTCATGGACATGCTCTGACGCACCCTTCCCCCTCTCCGCCGCACCCGCCAGCTTCAAGGAGGCGGAGCGGCTGAAGGCCGAGCTGGCGGCGGCGGGCGGCGAGCGCGCGCCCCCGCCCCCCGCTTTCCACCTGGGTCAGCTGGTGTGCGAGCAGGGCCGGGGCTACACGGGCGTCGTGGCTGGCTGGGAGCAGGTTTGCGGCGAGGGCCCCGCCTGGCTGGCAGCCGCGGGCCACGACCGCGCAGGGGCCCCGGGGCCCTGGTACTTCCTGCTGGTGGAGGAGGTGGCGGGTCGGGGCCCCCGCTCCGGCCTGCCCCCTGTGGCCCTGGTGCCGGAGGGCGCCCTGGAGCCCGCGGGCGACCCCTCCCTTGTCCCCGGGGGCGCCCACCCCCTGCTCAGCCTGCTGTTCCTGGGGAAGGACGCAGAGGGCAACCACCTGCCCTGCCGCCAGCTGAGGCAGAGGTTTGGGGCGGAGAGGCGCGACGTGCACCCTCCAGGTGGGCCTTTGGCGGGGTGCCTATGTGAAGTCAGGCTGGACCGGAGGGGTAGTGGCTGGAGGGGAAGGGGGGAGAAATAGGGTCGTTGAGTCGGCGGCAAAGTCCGAAAGCATGATGCGGGCTCACCGCCCCACCCACTCCCTGCCGAACCCCTGCACAGGGTCGGACGACGAGGAAGGAGATGCAGATGGGGGCACGCGGTTGGAGGACGAGGAGGGCATCCCGCAGGACCCTGGCAACCGGCCCAGTGGGAGGAAGACGCTGCCCGGCATCGACATGTCCTCCCTGGATGACACCGGGGGTGACCTCTGACTTGTTTTTGCTGGCTGGTGATGTGATACATGCTCAGCCATGTCCTCATCAGACACGCAAGGCAGGGGATGACACACCAAGGGGAAGGGGGAGGAGGGGCCACTCGCTACGATGGGCTGTCTGCCACCCCTGGCCGTCAGCAACGGTAATGATTCACAGTCCCTCTAGTCTTGAGGCCGCAGCAATGCAGCCACCCGGGTGAGGCGGCGGGCGTCGAACTTGTGCACATGGCAGCCGCCGCCCTCTGCTCTCCGCCCTACCCCGCCTCATCGGCCGCGCTGCAGCTGGCGCTCCGCGTCCGTCAGGTCCTTGACGATGCGATCCAGCCGCTTCTTGGGCACAGGGGTGGAGAAGCCAAAGGAGTTTATGTGCCCGGCGATCGCGTTCACAGCGGAGTAGGTGTTGGCAAAGGACGGCCGCCCCTGCACACTCCCTTGTCTGCAGGGCCGGGGATCAGGAGTGATGGGGATGGAGTGGCTGTGGGGTGCGGATTCGATGGCTGTGGGGTGCGGATGCGATGGCAGTGGGGTGCGGATCTAATGGCTGTGGACTGCGGATTCAATGGCTGCGGTGTGTGTGGCTCCAGCACTCCTCATTATTTTGAGTACCTTGTCACCCCACCGCAGCTCCTTGGAGCTTGCACCCCGACCTTCCACCCCTAGAATCCAACCCAATCCACGCACCGTCGGTACTTGGCCACCCAGGCGGTGGACCGGTCCTTGATCTCCTTCAGCACATTCTCGCGGTCTGGCGCATCACGGGACAGCTGGGAGACGTTCAGGATGTCCTTGATCAGGCCCTCCTGTGCAGAGACGGGAGGTGTGGGTGGGTGGGTGGCCTGCCTGGAAGCTCCGACTTGGAGACAGACCCACCCCCGCCCAAGACCGGGCGGGGTGCATACCCACCTGCCCCTCTCCCAGAATCCGAGGCCATGCTGCCCACCGTGAGCTGCTGGTACTCGGTCTCTGCGGCGTTGCCCTCTCCGATGCCCAGGAAAGCCTTGGCTGCCATGGGCTGTCCCATCATGAGCAGGGACAGCACCCCAGCTCCGGCCGCTCTCCGGCTGATGGCGGGGGCGGACTGCTGAGCTTGCACAGACACAACACATTTCCTGGCTGGTGCGCGCGATGCGCATCTGTGCGTCGGGGAAGGGGAGTGGGGTTGGGGGGGGCACGGCGTCGAGGTGTGGTGCCCCATGCTTCAGCTGCGGGATAGCTCCCCACCGAGCCTGTTCACCTTGGAATGGAGGGTACGACCCTTGTGCTTGCCATCTGTGCCATTTTAAGATCCATCGTGGTGCAATGTGTCGCAGGAGTGTGGGCCAGTGGCTGCCATGACATGTCGTTGAGTGCCGGATCTTGTTATCATGCATCACTTTGCAGTACCGTCATACCCACGTGCCTCCATGCCCGCAGTTTCAAGTGCCTGACGAACAGCCCGTGGATGGGATCACAGTCGGGCGCAGGGCCTGTGGAGCATTCAACTCACACCTAACTTACGACTCAAACGACAAATCTGTCTCTGAGGCGCGCAGGTCTGCGGTGCTCTCGTTGTTGGCTCTGGACAGGCTATCAAATAGGAGGAGCCAGAGATGAGCTCGAGCAAGCAGGATCGTCAGTTCCGGGCGCTCCGGCAGCTGATGCCGTGGAATTGGGATGCGAGGTGAGTTAAGCCTGTCTTGGTCGAATACATGTAGTGCGTCTGGGTCCACTGTACGAAGACAAACTTCACAGGTGCCACCTGCCGGCTCAAGCACCCCACGACGTCCCTGCAGGTTGGAGGAGCACCCTCCCGGGGAGAAGTCTATGCACGACTTCCAAGATGTGCTGAGCTGCACATATGATCGATCCAGGCGTCGGCGCTCCGAGCCTCTCTCCACCCCTCCCCCCGCTCTGGTGGCCACTCCGAAGGCCAAGACCATGGGACGGGGTCAGTCTGGGAGTATGAAGAAGACGAGGTCTGCAGGAGTCAAAGTACCCCGTACAGAGACCAGGTGAGCCAACTTCTCAGCTGTGGTACTTGCTCCGAGACGCAAGCTCTGAGGCAAGCAGCAGGCAGTGCTGCTGCAGTCAGTCTCTTGAATGGCAGGCCTGGCACTCGCGGCTGTGAGCATGGTGCTTCACGCAAAACACACCCTCAATCTTCAACCCAATACCACAGATCTGGAGCACCTATCGATGAGCTCAAGGTTGATCCTGTGGAGCTCATCAGTGCCTCTCCTTTGACAAAACTGAAGTCTGCAACTGATGAGGACAGGGCTTCAGGTCAGGAAGCCGCTGATGGCCCCACAGAGGCACAGGAACTGAACGACATGCAGGGGCTGGAATCACCGGGAGGCGTGGTGCCAGGGCCTTTGCCGCCCAGGATGCACACCCCCGGCCTAGGGATCCATGCCACCCCCTGTGCTGATGCACAGAGGTGAGAAGAGGGAGAAGCTGGCCCCTGTGGCTTCTTGTATAACGCATGGTCCCAAGCAAGGTGGGCTCCCGAGTCTGCAGTTTGCGCTCGCCTCTCTCACGGCCAGCCCCTCACTCCAACATACAGCCCCTGGCAAGCGAAGGAAGGAGGGGAGCCAGCTCCTTGCAAGGACCAGGATCCATCGCCGCCCCAGGCAGGCGACACCTGCCCCGGGCCAGAGGCACCGGTGAGTGGCCCTCCACTCAGCACGCCCAAGTGCACAGCACAGGCCCCGATCGAGACCCTGGAGCCGAGCAGCAAGCCCGAGCTCCCGCCCGTCAACAGGGCGCAGCCCGCGCAGACCCCTGTCCCCGCATCGGCCTCGGGGATCCCCATTGCCGGGACCCCCCAGGCAGTGCCAACCCAAACCAGCACCGCGGCAAAAGGATCGGGCAGCGCTCTGCGGACTCCGGGGTCGGCCCCAGAGCAGCACACCGCGCCGCGTCAGCGCCACCTGGAGCCAGAGAGTGCGGCGGAGGCGGCGTGCCTGGTCCTCACCCCCCGCGGTGTGGTCAGTCCGGGCGTCGCGGATCCCGTCAGCTCAGAGCCGGCACGCGCCGGCCCATCCAGCGTCAGCACCGGCCCCCCCCTCGGCGCTGCTGGCAGCGCTGTCGTCCCTGCCAAAGACGCTGCGCAGCGTAGGCGCGGCGACCTCCGCCAGGGCGAACTCCCCGCCAGCTGGCTGCGGCGCCTCCCCCTGCCCTCCTCTGTTCAAAACCCCTCTGACGGCACCCCTTCCAGGAGGCTCGACTGCCAGGTGTGTTGGGATGGTCAGGCAGGGCAGCGAAGGCTCGACGAGAAGCCTGGGTCTCGCGTGTGCAGGCCAAGCGACTTTCCACAGCGATGGTCATGCGATGAGCTGTGCCAGCACCCCACCCTCGCTCTCGACCGCAGGACTCATCGTCGGGTGACGGGCGAGAGTACTGCGTCTGAGCCGCGTATGCCCGTGAGTATGGTGAGCGACCCAAGCGGTGCGCCATCGCCCGCCTTTTCGCATTCCGGGCATGTGCTTCATGGCTGGACCCTGTGCCCCTGCCATCGGTGGCGGTCATACCTTCTGCATCCCCCCCGCCCCCCCCCCGCCCCACTGCTCGGTGCAGGTTGGACAGAGTGCCGGAACACAAGCGGCATCGCCCCATGCGCACATGACCTCAGCCCTGCTGGATTCCAGCAAACGGGGGCGCTGGCCAGTCCAAGAGTGGAGCGCAGCCAAGCGCCAGGAGGTTGCGTGGCTCAGCAGCAGTCTACACGCACATGAGCGCCGGCTTCTCCAGGCACTTGCCCCACGCGTGGCGTGATGTCGGGGAACAAAGTTGGCAGCATGGGATTGCAATCTGCCCTGCGAGCTGTGATTGCACTCCATCCATCTTCCGACAAGCTCTTCTCCTGCTAAATCATCGGATTCGTCCCCCTACATCCAGAGCAAGGATAGAATGGTGGAATCCGGTATAGATTGCCGCGGTGTGTCCCTCGAGGGGTAGCTCCCATCGTTGTTAGCCGTCGTGGGTATGAACGTTCAAGTAATCCATTGGCAACCTCGCAACGACTACTCAAAGTGCTTTCGAGGTTGGGATATCTCCCCAAGATGACCATGCACGACGCCCAGGATTTGGCGAGAGCAGGTGTTTGAACCTCGCCGCGCGGGAATGCCTTGCTCGTGAAACGAAATGTAGCGCCCTTCCTCTCTTGCCTGCCCCACGGTGGTAACACCTCGGCAACCTGAACCTGGGGAGTCATGAAAGCGAATGGACTTCCCAGCCTTTGTACCTTTTCACCTGTAAAGTAGTTCCCATCCCGGCGTCCTCGCGCCCTGCTGCCCTCCGTCCTACATGGCCCTTCGAGCCAGCGGGCTGGTGGGCAACAAAACACTCCATGAAGTCTCCGGCTGTGTTTGCGACCTTTGTGGCAAAGTGGCCGACAGCGAGGTGTCCGAGGTCACCGCGCTGGACTGCTCGTACCAAAATTGCGATGCCATGTCCGCCATATACCATCAGGCGTGCCTGGAGAAATTCCTCAAAGCGCAGAAATGCGAACGGTGAGTCCTGCATGATGTGATCCCATTGCCGGGAGTCCGCAGAGAGTGCAAGTGTAGCCCACCTCCAGCCCCATCACACCCGCGAGGCAGGAATCGCAAGATCGGATTTCCCTGTCCGCGAGGGCATGGAAAGGCCACGGTGCATTCAGAACCGTGTCGCGGCAAGGTAGGCCCGCTCACGCGCCTGCATGTTGGCTGTTCCCGTCTTCGCGAGGCATTGCTGGCGTCATGTGTTCTGGTGCACCCCCACCACTCCTGGCCCCTCCTCAACTCTTGCCGTTCCCACACAGATCCTCAAGTCCCACCCAGTGTGTATACGGGGCGAGGCAAATAAAAAACGGAGACAGGTGAGCGTTTGTCGTGGAGGTAACAACCTGATCAGGAGGCTCGCCTGGTCGTGCGGCCGGCCATTTGACATGCACCCCAGTGTGCCTTGCATGGCATGCTTGGAGCTTGCCCGATTCCAACAAAAGGCAACCACCTCTGCTGGGTCCTACAGGAGCAACAGGACCAATTATTAAAGCAGCAGCAGGAGGCGGACAAGGGTGCTAGACGAGAAGCTGAAGCCACTAAAGCCAAGCCTAGGCCACCACCCAAGCCTCAAGAGTGCGTGGGCCTGTCACAGGGCTTCATGACATGCCAGTTGTACTGGAAATCTTGATGGTTTTCCATTGCTATCGGGACTGACTGGTGGCTGTTGCATTAGATGGCCAGTGCGCACCGGAAGCACATGGTCATGCCTTTTCAGGGTCACCGTGGCTGTCTGCTCACTAGGTTCCCTACCCCTTAGGCTTGGCGTGAGCACACCTTCGCTGTTGCCCATTTCATATCCCTCCGCTCGGCATCCTCACCACCCCCCCTTCCACACTCGGCATGCAGACCGGTGGCAGTTGCGCAGAAGAAGGCTCCTGCTACTGCAAAACCCTCGATCCTGTCCGAGGCCGAGGCCCTGGCGGAGCTGCGCAGGAAACTAAACCTAGAGCGGGGGGCCGGGGCAGGTGCCGGGGCGCCCGTCGCACCGCCTGTGCGCGCCGCGTCCCCCGCCCCGGTGCCTCTGCAGCGTAAGCGCAGCATGGTCCTGCTGGAGGAGTTCCTGGTGCTGAAGCCCGGCGGCCAGGCCGCCGGCGCCGCGGCCGGTTCCACCCGCGCCGCCTCCCCCGCCCCGCCCATGCCAAACGCCTGGGCGGCGCGCGCGGGCAGCCTGCCGCTTGCCGGCCTGGGGCTGAACGGCGGCGAGGGCCCGTCCGAGGCGGGGGCCGCCCGCTGCGCAGGGGTGGACAGCGACGACGCGGGCGCCCACCCGCTCTCCGCCGAGTTCCCCAGCATCGGCAGCGCAGGGGATGGCGCAACCCCGGTGCAGCCAAGGCGGCAACAGGGGCCCGACGCGACGCCGGCGCCAGTCGAGGCGCCGTTGGGCGTCTGGGCCCGGCGCCCGGCCGCGGTCCTGGCGGCCGAGCCCCTCCCCGCCCACGCCCGGCAAGTACCGGAGGCCGAGCAGCCTGGGGAGTGGGAGGAGCTGAGGCCGGACGAAGAGGGGGCCGACGGCCCTTGCTCCCTGGACGACTCCAGCCGCTCCCCCTTCCCGCTGTGCGCCCCAGTGCCCGGGGCGGGGTGGGTTGAGGACGGGGTGGCAGCAGGGGGCGGGGCGGCGGCGGAGGAGCGTGCGGCGGCGGAGGAGCGTGCGGCGGCGGAGGAGCGTGCGGCGCAGGCGCCGGTGCTGACGCGCGCGGCGCGCAAGAACGCGCGGCGCGCGGAGCGCAAGGCGGCGCTGCGGGCTGCGGAGGACGCCGGCACGCACCCCATGCTGTCCCAGCCCGGGTCGCCGGCGGGCAGCCTGTCCGAGGCGAGCGTGGGCGGGCTGGGGCGCCTGCTGCGCTCCGCCTCGGCGCAGGGCACGGAGGGGTCCAGCGGCGCGGGGTGCAGCCCCTGCCACGCCGGCGAGCCGGCCGCGCGCGCGGCGGGCCTGGCCGCCCGTGCGCTGCAGCTGCGGCTGGACGCGCTGGCCATGCTGGGGTTCGAGCCGGGGGAGTGCCTGCGTGCGGTCTGCGGCGGCGCGGGGCTGGACGCCGGCGCCGCGCTCCTCTCCTTGCTCGGCGGGCGCGGCGCCACGCCGCCTGCGCCCGGGCTCCTGGACCTGGACCTCGGCGAGGCCTGGGTCCGGCTGGCTGCCGCGGGCGCGGGCGCGGAGGGTGCGGGCGCGGAGGGTGCTGGGCGGGAGGGTGCAGGGGCGGAGGCGCGGCGCGGGGAGGCGCCCGATGCCCCGCCGCCCGCCCCTCGTGGGCTCCGGGGCGACCAGCGCTGGCCCTGCGCGGGGCTGTTTGCCGGCACGGGCGCGTCGCTCGTCGTGGACGATTGGGTGGCGGGGGACGGCGGCGCGGGGGGCTGGCGCGAGGCGCGGGGCGGACTGGCCCTCCTCCCGGCGCCCTGGGTGCTCGCGCCCCTGCGCCCCTTCCCCTCGTGCTAGGGGGCGCCGGGCGAGGCGCGGAAGAAAGGCGCAACGGGCCGTCCCCGGCGGCTTGCCACACGAATCCTCGGTGCCTGGCCTGGGTACCCCTGCTCCCACCTTGTTCCTGCTGCTCCCTCGTGAGACCCTGTGCAGCGCTGAAGCCCTGTGTAGCAGGCACGTTTCACGACAAGAGCAAAGGGAATGCAGTGGACACAGGGAGCATTATATCCTGCGGGCCCCGGCACCCTGGACCCCCGGGGGCTGCTCGGGGGACGTGCGAGCGCGGACTGGTACACATCCCTGCGAGGGCCGGGGTTGGTAGGAGGGAGGGGGAGGGGGGACCTCGTGGCGTGGCCTCGTGGGAGCGCAGTCTGGGGATGTCCCCGTCAGCTCTGGACAGGTTTCAAGCTGTCTCTCAGGTCGACTACAACTTCCCGCCCTTCTTCTGGAGATCGCTTAGGCCCTTGGTCATCTGTGAGGGAAGCAGATGTGCACGGGGTCACGCGGTGGGTTGCACCACGCCGACAGACCCGCGGGATTGTACATGCCATCCATCGCCTGCTCGCCAGCCTGCCCCGGAACCGCACCTCTTCCCGGAAAACCTTCATGAAATCGCCACCCTGGCCCGCTATCCGCTCCTTGTGTTCCGCAGTCTTCTTCGCCAGCTCCTCCACGGAGGCGCTGGACCGCACAGCGAACTTCTGGAACGTCCGGCTGCAAGGGGAGGGCGTAGGGTGCGGGGTGTCGGGGCACAGTCTTTACACAAGCTTGTAAGACGCTGTGGCGTAAAGTGATAGCGCTACCCCTCCAGTGTCACCTGTTGGCCAGAGTGTTGACCAGGACCTCATTCAGCCAGTAGTTCATGAGCCGCTGCAGGAACGCCATGGTCACAACCTGGGAAAGCGGGCCGGAGACCCTCTCACGAAGGATCTCTCAGTCTACGGAGCCGTTGGAAGGGCTGAGGAGTGTGGGTAGCAGGGATGAGCCGAGATAAAGATGCATGGGCTCGCGGGTCTGTGCGCACTTTGTCATTTCTAGGCGGACTCATGAATTATGCCGGAGTAGCGCGCGGGTGGACTCGAGAGATTCCAGGCGCCTCCTACCCTCATGGATGCCAGGTCACCGAGACACCCAAGACCATCACGCTCGGCCCTCGATGCTTACGGCACGCAGACATTGTCATCAAAGGATTCAAAGTGATTGGCCCTTATCCTGGCAAGATGTGAGATGTACATGATGCTGTGTCTGTTTGATACGGAACAATTGGTAATACCAGCACTCCCAACAATATGGAGGGAGGCTGAGACGCCCTCAAGCCATAACATTTTTATGGTGTGTATGAGGCTTTGGCCTCTCACATAATCAAGTATGCGCTGAACGCTGGCATCTGGACCCTGAGCTTCCGCCGATGGTGTCCGCAAGGGTGCTGTACATGACATAGTTGCTCATTCACCTAATGCACCCAGAAGTCTGCTCAAGTAATGAGCAAGCAACACTGCACAAAGTGGTCAGACCTCAAAAGGTCGCCCTGCATGTCAGTGTGACTCAACTGCCATGGCGGTGTCCAGCCACTGCCTGGCACTGCTGACGTCAGCGCGCACGTCTCGTATCCCTAGCAAACTTATAAACCCGAAACGGAACTCGCAAACAGGACTGTGTAGGAGCTTCACCTTCCCAAGCGTTCAAACTGGATAAAGTTTGTCCCAAATCTTATATCATACAATCATGGCTGCCCAGCGCCGTGTCGCTGCCCTCACTCGACACCTGGTGCGTTTCGGTTGCGGACCTCGGCAAGCATCCTGGCGGTGTGACGTCCAGGACCTTGGGGGTACCAGAACCATTTGCTATTTTAATCATAATTTGCATGTATGTGTCGGTCACGCCTGCCCTTACATTCACGTTATGTGTATAGGAGGGCGATGGGGAGGGAAGGACGCCTGTGGTCAGCGGGGCCCTGTGCCGGGCCTCCTCAGCGGACCCTGAGGTCGCGGCTGTCCTCTACAAGTTCATCACCCGCGACAACATGGAGCTGAGACAGAAGATCTTTGACTTCCTCAAGGTACGTGATTCTGCTTGTGGGTAGTATAGCGGGGGGGGTGGGAGGAGGGCAGGGGGGAGAGTGTCCTTTGGGTCCACTGGCGCATGCTCGTCACCGCCGACTCTGATTCCCCACGAAATATATAATGAACATGCCATGATTGCAACGCCTCAGCACGAGCACCCTCGTTGCGCATGCCAGCCTGCAGCGAGCTCCTGTTGTTGAGACCCCCAGCCACCCCCCCCCTCCAAACAAACTCGCAGGACCCCATCTACCAGCCGGAGCACTACCTGTCCATCGCCGACTTCCGGGCGCTGACGCGGGAGCGCTTTGCCCGCTTCGCCGCCGCCCACTTCTTCACCATCACCGACTACGTCGACAACCCGCGCCGCTTCCTGGCGGCGCTGGAGTGCCTGGCCTGGGCGGACTACAGCCTGGCCATCCTGTCGGGCGTGCACTACACCCTCTGCGGCGGCACCATCACCAAGCTGGGCAGCGCCGCGCAGGTGGCCGCCCACGTCCCCGCCATGGACGTCGGCCGCCTGCGCGGCTGCTTCGGCATGACCGAGCTGGGCCACGGCTCCGACGTGGCCGGCATCCGCACGCGGGCGAGCTACGACGCCGCCACCCGCGAGTTCGTGCTCACCACCCCTGACGACGACGCCAGCAAGTACTGGATCGGCGGCGCGGCGGGCACCGCCCACATCTGCGCCGTGTTTGCGCAGCTGGAGGTGGCGGGGAGGGAGGAGGGCGTGCACGTCTTCCTCGTGCCGCTGCGCGACGAGGCGGGGCGCCCCCACCCCGGGGTCCGCACCGCCGACTGCGGCGCCAAGATGGGCCTCAACGGCGTGGACAACGGCCAGATCTGGCTGGACGACGTGCGCGTTCCGCGCGAGGCCATGCTCAGCCGCCTGGCGACGGTGTCGCCCGAGGGTCGGTACTCCAGCGCGCTGCCCGACCGCGGCGCGCGCTTCGGCGCCACCGTGGGAGGCCTGACCATGGGCCGCGTGCTCATCGCCGGCGCGGCGGTCACCGCCAGCGCCATTGGCCTCACCGTGGCCATCAACTACGCGCACGCGCGCCCCCAGTTCGGCGACACGCTCATCGGCGACTACCTCACCCACCAGCGCCGGCTCTACCCCGCGCTGGCGGCCACCTACGCGCTGCACTTTGCGCTGGACCGCGTGAAGGCGCTGCTGGCGGCGCCCCCCACCCCAGCCCGCGCCAAGGCCATCCACGTCGCGTCCTCGGGGCTGAAGGCCGCCGCCTCCTGGGCCCGCATCCGGTGCCTGCAGGACTGCCGCGAGTGCTGCGGCGGGCAGGGCTTCGCCGCCGCCAACCGCATCGGCCCGCTGCTGAACGACATGAACGTGGACGCCACCTTCGAGGGCGACAACACCGTGCTCATGCAGCAGGTGGCCCGCGCGCTGCTGGGGCCCAGGGGCGCCGTGCGCGCCGAGCCGGCGGCGCCGACCCTCTCCGCCGACGCGCCGCGCTGGACGGACGAGGAGGTCGCTGCGGTGCTGGACTGGCGCGTGGAGGCGGGAACCGCCGCGCTGGAGCGCGCCATGGCCGAGGCCGGCCCCGGACCCGCCGGCGCGGCGGCCGGCTTCGCCGCCAGCCTGGACCGCGTCGTCGCGCTGGGCCGGGCCTGGGCCGATGTGGCCACCACCACGGCGCTGCGCGAGGAGGCGGCGGCCGCGCCGGCGGCGGCCGCGCCGCTGCTGCGCACGCTCAGCGCGCTGCACGCGCTGAGCTGCCTGGAGGGCGCCGCCGCCGAGCTGGCGCTGGGCGGGGTGCTGACGCGGGCGGGCGCCGAGTCGCTGCGCGGCCTGGTCAACGACCTGTGCCGCCGCCTGGGCGAGGACCGGGGGGCCGCGGCGCGCACGCTCTGCGCCGGCTTCGGCTGCCCGGACCACCTCATGTGGGCGCCCATCGCGCGCGACTGGACCACGGCCTTCAAGTACCCGGGGAAGGCTTGAAGGAGCGGGGGTGCGAAAGCAGTGCTTGGATCCTGGACTGGGCGCTGCGCATGCCCCTTCCATCTCATCAATAGCATGGACCTGCGGAGTTTTGAACCATGTTCCTAGAACCACACAGGGCGGCGGCGTAGCGATCCCCGCTGCCCCTTTTATTGTGTTCAAACCTCTGCCGCTGCTTGTAGTTAGCTCGCACTGCATCACTGCCTTGGACTCCATGTATAGCGTTCAAATTCAAGGTCAGTTCACTTTCCCCTTAGGGAGTGCAAGACGGGGAAGGGGCAGGGGTTGGGGCGTACATGGTCACCATGTGGCGAACCTCCCTCCGGTGAATCAGAGTCCCATCTCCGGACCGATCGGAGCAAGGCTGGCTGATCCCTGGCAGGCCGTGCAAGCAATCCTCGTCACTGGCGAATGAGATAGTGACCCAGAATTGATCACGTATCAGTCGCTGCCGAGGTCGTCGTGCACAGTGTGTGCCCCAGTACTCTAATTTTGCACCACATCCCGACACTGGGCCTAGGCCCCCGCAGCCCCTCATCCAATGGGTCAGGAGCAACCACGAGTGGGAGTCGGGGTCCTTCTGCATCGCGATGGCAGGATTCTCGTCGGGAAGAGGTGAGGAAAGGTGCCAGTTGGAGGCACCTAGCCAAGCGCGGCGCAGTGTGGATTGACCATGCCAAGAGCCTGAGTCACTGCTTTCCGGTCCCTTTATCGTCCTGCCCTTCATGCCTCCTGGTCCACAGGCTGGGCTCCACAGGCAGCGGCACATGGGCCTTGCCTGGGGGGAAGCTGGAGTACCAGGAGTCATTTGAGGCTTGTGCTGCGCGAGAGGTGAGCCCACTGAGCCCTCTGTAATGAGGGCTGGTGTAGCAGCTGATGGTGTTGCGTCCTGTATGTAGACAACCTGGTTTTTGGTGAAAAGTATCCTCCCATCCAGTTGCGCTCAATCCAAAACTTCCTGCCACACCGTCCAGTTGGAAGAGGAGACGGGCGTTGTTGCAACGAAGTTCACATTTGCATATGCTGTGAACAGCGTGCTCCGAGATGGAGGGGGTCACTGGGTGACGATATTTATGGAGGCCGACTGTCCCCAGGTGCGACAGAGGTTGTTTTGGCGTTGGCATTGCATAGGTGAACTTGGCAGGGAAACTGCTGTGGCGGGGAGTTGCTGAGTGGGTGTTTCTGGTGCCCTCTCTGCATGAATCCTGGTGCCACACAAGGCAGTCTTCAATGACCTCCTGCACCTGCAGGACTGCGAGCCTGCAAATCTGGAGCCAGACAAGTGCCAAGGCTGGGAATGGGTGCCTTTCAATGCAATTCCTCAGCCCATCTTTCACCCCCTGGCCTGCCTGCTGGACAGCCCTTTCCAGCTCAGGATACAGGGCATGTTCAGCGTGCACGGTGCCCTGAGCGCAACTCCAGTTCTTCCCTTGACAGCTTGCATCTCACTCAATGATACTGAATGACGAAGTCATGGCACAGCCATAACCGGCAGAACATGCATGGTTCTTGTCGCCATCTGACGCTTGTGATTGGGGCCGACGCACTTGGTGATCACAGCGTGCACCGCATGCACTGTTCGAACATCCGTGCTCCACCAACCAGAGCAGATGTCGACAGGAGTGTAGCGTCCAATCACTTCATGTCAACACAAGAAACTTATGTGCGCAATTGAGGAACCTGAAGTATACCTCGTATAGTAGGCGAAACATCGCCCCTGCCCGTCCCCTAGCTCCGCCATGGCTTCGGGGGAGGAGTCGCGGGCCACTCGCGTCTGGCTGCAGAAGCAATTTCGCACGAGTGGCCTGCAGCTGGATCCGGGAGCCCTTTCATACCTGGTGGACGCCGTGCAGGGGCTCCATGATCCTGAGGAGTACATCCACCGCATCATGGACGAGGCATCTGCCGGTAGGGTTCCCCACTCTGTCCGGCATGCATTCTGGGAGGGACTGCACCACGATTCAGGCTACCTCCTACTTGCTAACAATGTCAAGGAAGGTCCCAATCTGGCTACTGGGACGCCTGAATTGCCTCCCACTGCTGCCACTGGCTGCCTGCATGCCCCATGCTGCACACCCTCCCACTCCACACAGGGGCCCAGCGGCGCCTGACCCTGGAGTCCCTGGAGGGCCTCGTCCGCCGCCTGGACGGCGCCAGGGCCCAGACCAGCGGGACGCAGGTCATTCCTGCTTTCCAGACGCCCGTGCTGGAGTACGATCCCATCCGCAAACAGTTTCACGCCAGCCCCGCCCCGCCGCGCTTGTTTCCGGAGGCCAAGGTGCGTTGCAGTTGCGCCCCGCCCCTGGCGAGGCTGTTGTGCATGCGCGACAGGGCTGCCGCGGTGCGCCCTTGATGCTGGACCTGCTCGCCAGGTCGGCCGCCAGGGGCCTCCCCCCAGCCTTACCGTCGTGCATCATCACACCTCCCCAGTCCAAGATCGCGCTGTACGTGAACCGATACCACCTCGTGCATCAGCGCCTGAGACGCAACCGGCTGTTCAGGCCGACGCACTGGGCGGGTGTGGCGGGGGCCCAGGGCCAGGAGTGCGAGGTGGGCTGGTCGGAGCGGGTGGGGTCCAGACATGCTGGGGGGCAGCATGTGCTGGGGTGTGCACGCGCGGGCGTGCCAGCCCTTGGAGCTCCCGGCGCGAGCCAGGATCGCCGTGTTCTTCTCGAGCCTGCCCGGGCGCTCTGCATGGCCCCCCCTCCTCCTCCTTCCTCAACCCGACAGCTGACCGAGCTCAAGGCGCTCCTGGGGCTGGTGGGCCAGTCCAAGTATGTGCTGGGCTTCCTCAGCCAGCCACGGGAGGGGGAGTATGCGCTGGAGGACCTCTCCGCCCGCCTCCCCCTTGACATACAGGATGCAGAGCGCACGCCCGGGCTCTTCACGGGTGAGGGAGGGGTTTGGAGGGTTTGGCCAAATGTCTGCTCCTTACTGGCTGGCGGGCCAAAACCCCCTGACTCTTGGGACCCAGGAACCGGAGGCTCGTGAGAGTGCTCCGTGTTCTGAATCCCATGTTCCCTCCCGCTCCCTGCATTCCTGCTCTGAGGACCTCACCGACCGCCCATTTTGCCCGTCTCCTCGACCATGCAGAAAACTCGATCGTGGTGGCAGAGGGCCAGCTCCAGCCCAGCGGCCGCTTCAAGGCCGTGGCGCTGGGCACTGCCCCCCCCGGAGTCCAGGGCCGCCTCCATCGAGGCACTGCAGGCAAGGCTGTTGTGGGAGAAGGAGGAGAGGGGCTTGACACCGTGTGGGACGCTGCCTTCGAACCAGCACACTGCCCGACAAGCCTTTGCGCTCCTGCGCCCAGCCTCCAAACACCATCTCATCACCCCTTTGCAGGGCCTGGTCACCTTTGGTGGCAGCGAGCCGGATGCCAAGGAGGCCGCCGCCTGGGACGCCAGCCACCCTGACGATGCCACGCTCCTCCTCTCAGACGTGTGGCTGGACGATGCCTGCGCCATGGCGAATCTGGAGGCCCTGCTGGCGACGCTGGCCGAGGCAGACGCCTCGAGCCAGCCCCCGCCCAGCCTCATCGTCCTCTGCGGCGACTTCCTGTCCCCCGCAGGGCGCAGGGCGGTCGTGGGGGGAGGAGCTGCCAAGACAAGTGCCGCGGGGGGCGCCGGGGGCGGGCTGATGGGCGAGTGCCGGCGAGCGTTTGACGGCCTGGGCCGGCTGCTGGCCCAGTTTCCCGCGGTCCAGGTGGGTGGAGGGCCACGGAACGAGGGGATGGAGAGGAGGACTCAGAAAACATGGCAAGCTGGGAGCCACCGGGCTCGACACGCTCGCCCCCCAGCCGCCAAAACTCGGCAGTACCTCGCTCTAATTGCCTCCACAGAGCCTGCCCATGCATGACCCCCCCCCTTTCCCCCTTTACTGCAGGAAAAGTCCACCCTGGTCTTGGTCCCCGGGCCCGAGGATGTGGGGCTGGGGCGTGCCCTGCCACACCCCGGCCTGCCCCGAGCCGTGCTCCAGGGTCTGCTGTCAGCCGCCCCAAACACGATAGTGGGGAGCAACCCGTGCAGGTGGGGCGAGTGGAAGGTGGGGGGATGTTCGTGCAGCTGATCTTGGTGGCTGGCTCGTATCAGTAGCTCGTGGGTTATTTGTTCAGGGTCAGGCAGGAGGGTTCAGACTAGGGTGCGTGACCTGACCCTTGCGAGGGTTGCACGCATCGTGCCTCCCCCAGCAGCTGACCCTGGGAAGGCTTACGAGGAGCATGGCATCTCGTGCCGCCCTCGCATGCCCATCACCACCCCCGCCCGCAGGCTGAGGCATGGCAGCTGCGAGCTGGTGGTGCTGCGCTCGAACCTGCAGTGCCTGCTGCGGGGCACCGCAGTGGTACCCCCCATGCCCGGCAGTACCCCTTTCCAGCATGCCGTGGCCAGCGTGGCCCAGCAGAGCCATCTCTGCCCAGTGCCCCTGGAGGTGCAGGTGAGGAAATGAGGTGGGGGGGGTGCAGGTGGGTGGGGAGTGCGGCTGGCCATGCCGAGGTTGGGGACGGGAGGAGCTCCAGACATGCAGGCTGAACCGTCGGGAACACGGACACCTCCTGGAAAGGCCGGGCGCTGCTGGGATGATTCCTGCCATTCAGCCACCCCCCTCCTCTCGACCACGCGCCGCAGCCTATACACTGGGAGCACGACAGGGCCCTGTGGCTGTACCCGCTGCCACACGCGCTCTTCCTGGCAGACTCAGCCCCGGCGGGGCACCACGTCTACGATTCATGTGTCAGCCTGAACCCGGTGAGCATACCTTCCTGGGGGTGCTCGCTGGGCCTGGCCCTTCTTCTCCGCCTGCCCCCCGCAGGAGAGCCAGGCAGCAAGCTCACACTCACACGCCACTGCAGGGTTCGCTGGTGCAAGGGACCTACTGCTCCTTCAACCCCGTCACGCGCCTCGGCAAGGTCTGCTCCGTCCAGGGGAAGGGGGAGTGGCAGAGTCAGGAGGCTGCTGTTGAGATGGACTGATGCACCGCGCAGAAGAGTATGTTTTTTTCCGACACATTCTGTCAAATACATTCCTCCTTTCTAGTCGGACCAAGGTCGAAATTTGAACCTCCGGGTGGTTAGGTGCGGCAGGTACCAGCGCCATTCGAATTGCGGGCTTGCGCCCTGGGAGAACATGACGCGCAAAGTGGTCCAGCCTCCGGAAATCCAACTTCCACTCGTTTGTGCGGACTGCGTTGGGCATCTCCGCTGCGATTCCGACTCGGTGATGGGCGTGAGGGCGTGCAAGGATACCTCGCCTCGCACGCGGCCACCCCCGACATGTCATTGAAGAGCGCCGTCAGCGGCAGCTCGGCAGATGCCTCGTCATCGTCTCAACAGACCCAGGAGCGGATTCCTCAGCAGGCGGCAGCCAAGAGGCGGGCCATGCCTCCCGGCTTCCTAGGGAACTACATGCAGGCGCGGGCGAGCATGGCCAGCGTCGGACTCGGCCCGGCCGCGCCAGAGGGCCACGGCAGAGCCAGCTCCAGCGGCCCAGCCGGCTGCAGCACGAGGACCAGCGTCCTGGGCCCCTCCGCCGCTGGCCAGCGCGCCGCGCCCTTCGTCCCGGCCACAACGTTGCCATCCCTCTTTGCCCATCGTAAGCACTACCTGCGCGCCCAGCGCCGGGCCAACCCCGATCAGCAGCCCTACTGCCAACATCAAGGAAAGCCTGTTGGGTTCTTGTCCCTACCAGAAGACGTGTTGGTGAGTGGTACGGATGTGGCAGCTTGCTGGCCTCAGGGTGGGCCTCCATGAGCATGTTACTTCATGCTGGAGGAGCGGTGTTGTAGAGTACGACGAATGAAAGCATGCTGCCATGCTCTAGCACCTGCAGATGAAGCAGGCACAGGTATAGTACGTCACATGTGTTGGCATAACGATCTCATAACTTCTGAAGTCCAAGAATGCCCTCAGCACCCACACCTGCTCTCCCATGTTCCCTTACAGCTCAAGATCCTCTGCTTCCTCAAGCATGACGAGCTGCGCCCCCTCATGGCCGTCTGCACCCAGCTACGGAAGACGGTGCGATGGCGGGAGGGTTCATAAAGTGGATGAAGGCTTGCTGGATCACGGGTGTGGGGATGGAGCAATGAGCAACAGGCTGAAACTCGGCATGAGCGACCCGTCCATGTGTGCCATGCTGTGCTTGAGACTGGGAGGAAGATGCAATCCTCCCAATTCACAAAGACCCATGTGGCCCCACATACACCTGCCCCATGCGCAGTTCAAGGATGCCGTAGTGTTCCACTTCAACTTCACGACCCCATACCGGCCCAGCAACGAGGAGAGCCTCCCCGGCCAGCCCCGGCCCCCCGTCCGCACTCGCAAGCGTTCGGCCACGAACCTGGCAGTGGTGCTGGCGCGGTTGGGGAGGAACAACCGCCACCTTGCCCCAGGGTGAGTCGCCCACATTTTGACCTGGCCATGCATGTCTGAGACGGGTCTCAAGACCTGCACACCCACATCCCAGGGCCAGTCTCCAACCCCCCTTTCACCCCTGACCGATTCTAAATCCTCGCACTCGCAGGGCGCTGAACGTCTGTGGCCCACGCTCGACAGCCCCGCGAGCCCTGACCTTCCCGGACGCCGCGCCGCCTGGCGCCTAGCCGGACCCTTTTCTCGAGGACGCGCCATTGCCCTTCTCCTCCATTGTATTTTCCAACCGGCCCCCCCTCATTGCCCGAGCAGTGCCCTACCCCCGCGCCCATGCCTGAACAGAATTTGACAGCCATGATTACAACGTACCCTCGCGCCGGGACGGAGACACAAGGCGCCCAGTGAGGATTGAGACGGGCGGAGGGGTGACATCGGCTGCTGTACAATGTTTCCTGCCGGTATCGGTCTCGGCTCGCGGGCTGCGGCGGCGCTTGTTCCAGAGCCCGCAGCCCGCGAGGAGCAGGCGGGAGCCCGAGTTGGGCACATGGTGGATGGATGGATGGTTGGTGATGGAAAAATTCAAAGTTTAGGGGAGAGGCCGGGGCCCTGCTCGGAAGGGGAGGAGCGGCGCGCACGACCCCGCAGCAGAAGAACCCCC